ATATGTATATATTTATATATAAATATATATATATATACATAAAATACATACGTATGAATAGCTCTGCTCAGCATTAACAAGATGGTATCGCTGGTTTTTAAAGGGTTCTAAGCTGACGCAAAGAGCAATTTATTTAAACAGTACAATATAATGCAACAAATTAAGCGATACTATAGAAAAACAAAATGATACAGGCAATAAAAAGAAAAAATTAGGAGGTAACTATTTAATTATAAGGAATGTGCATTAGATTCTTTTTTAATCAATGGATTCTGTAGAGCAGAAATGTTCGATATAAACAATGGTAGAAGGTTTAACATCAACAGGAAGAGCATTATACGCCTTTGCATATCTATTCGAATGTCATTTTCAAGATTCCCATAAAGCTTGCCCGACATAGCAACACATAATAAATGCAGACTGGATTTCGTGTATTGATGTTCATTCATAAATATCAGGTTAATCGAATAACTTTATAGATGTTTCTTTCCTGAAGACCTAGTGACGAGTGAATTCAAATTCATTTTATACGGAAATAAATTGAAATAACTAGTCACTAGGTCCCCGGGAAAGAAACTTCCTTAAATTGAAATATGTTAGTTTAAACAAAATGAGTTTTTGTGTCAATGGAATTGACTATCAACTTGATTTTTATTTTATCTTCCATCATACGACAACAAACTTATGGTGATTTGGCCATTCACTTTAAAGTTTTCTTTAAAGATACTATGTCCCTTTTGCAGCCAACATCAAATTCTGCAGAACTTTGCAGGAATTATGAATATGCAATGGATGGCGCCTTACATTAAATACCATGCACGAGAAACCGCGGCGTTTTAAACTAATAACGCACGCAGGCAGGCTGCATTCACTAATCCCGAAGGCGGGATTTGCCCACCAAAAGCCGCATTGTGTTTGTCTGAAGGACGGTGTCGTCTTTTTCTTGCAGGAAACCTGCAGTCAAATTTTCTCCGCATCGGAGGATTCGCCATACCTATTTAGCTCCCTCTACCGCTAAATAATAAAGGTTGTTTTAGCATACCTTGAGTTCGTGTCGAATATTTGTACTACGTTAGGGAATGAATAATACACAACAAAAACAACGTTTAAAAGGGGTGTTTAAAAAATAATACGACCTGTTTAAAAATGTAGTCAGTTTTTTACAATATTATCTGAACAACCATTAAAATTTGTCAAACATTACTCAAGTTATCGAATGGAAACCAGATTCTCATATTTAATGAGCTATGACCTTTAACCTACATACTTGGAAATTGAACTTGGGTTGTGTTTGGATACCATAAACCTTCATATCAAATTTCATTAAAATCCGTCAAACATTACAAAACTTATGGATCGGAAACCTAAGAGGACACTTTTTTCTTCTTTTTTTGGTTTCGAAATTTGAAAATTTGACATTATGTTCCGTTGGGGGGGGGGGGGGGGGGTAAGGTCACCTTTTTTAGGTCAGCCATTGGGGGGGGGGGGGGGTTTAAAAAAAAACATACACAAAACATACACTTAAAAACAAACTCAAGGGGGGGGGGTTTAACCCCAAACCCCCCCCCCCCCCCTGCGCGCCTGGACGCACGCACACACGGAAGGACGGACGGCAGCGTTACTACATCCCCTCCGACTTCGTCGGCGAGGGGATAAAAATGTTTATTTTGTTATATTGATGATGTTAATATACTTTGGCCATTAGCGAAAAGATATAAACAAAAACAAAAAACAAAAAAAAGAGCCGGGGGGTAAGTAGAGAGACAAATATCATAATAAAGTATACAGTACAGACTACGTCCATCTTTCTGTCTCTCCAAGCTCTCTCACTCATACTGTTTATTTCTGAATTCTAAATATGATATCCATCTTCCTTCGCTTGCTTTTATGTCAACTTAAACTAGCAATATCATTTTGTGGGTCTTGTTTCCCTGTTTAATACTTTTTTGTTATCTAATTCCCATTCTTTCGCTCAAAATCTATCATAATCACTTATTATATATGGCGCATAGAATGAAAGAAAAAAGTCAGCGAGCGGCAGGGCGCCATCCATATGCGTTCCCGAACAATCAGAAAAATCGTGGAGGGGGGGGGGGGGCATGATGCCCCCCCCCCCGGCCTTATTAGGGTTAATGCCAGGAGTTGGGCAAAGGCAACATTGAATGTCCGAGTACACTAAAACGCGCTAATGTATCGGCGGCCTTGAGTAAACGGTGGGGGTGACTTATTGAAAAAGAGCATTTCAGTCGTCGGCTTTCCAACTATTTAAAGGACAAGTCCACTCGAAAAATAACTTACTTTCAATAAAAGCAGAAAAACCAGACAAACCAATCAAAAAAAGTTTATGAATTTTTGAAAAAGTATGTAAAAGTATGGAACAATGAGAATCACAACACAAATTGCCACGATGGTTATCAGTTTGTGACGTCATGTCCTCACTTTTTATCAATTGCTCTATTCGGTTTAATCCCATTAATTTTTCTTTTTAATCCCGAAAACTTGATTTTCTCATGCCTTTGCCAAGGTTATATGATGTGAATCACATTGCGTGCATGGCATTTCATGCTACTACCCTCACAGTACTGAGCAAGCCATGCCTTATTCCCAAAACAAATTCGAAGGTCATTACATGAGACGGCTCTAATTTCTGACATATTGTTTATTTCTGAACTTTATACATAATATCCATCTTTCTTCGTTAATAAATGTTACGTTAAAAAGATTGTCAAGATGTTGCTAAAAAAATGTTAAAAGGCATGATTGTGTAATCAAAGAAACTAATACTAAGCTGGAAGAATCGTTGTATATATTTTAATTTCGATGTTATATTTCACTCAATCATTGATTAATTAATGTACAATTGTATTGAAATTATCGAAATTAAAACCTCGCTTTAGGATAAAAGAGAAAAAATGAAAGCTGCTGATGATGTTGTTGTTGTTGTTACTATTGGTTTTTACGGCGCTGTCGTTCAAACAGCTCATATTTTGCTCAAGTCATTCATAAATATTAAACAATCTTTTCATAATTAGTCAAGTGAATGGCCCATATGTTTATAAATGTTCCAGAAGTCAATTATTGTTTAAGATAACCCTACAAAAATAATAAAGTTTGGAAACGAAAAAGTGACAGATGAAGATACAACAAAGCGAAACATATTAAAGGAAGAAAAAGCATTAATGTATGTCTTGTATAAATGTGTGATAAAAATGTTTCTTAATACGTTCTCCCTTTGGGGGAAGGGAATCTAAATTATGACCGTACAAAGCAGGGGCTGCGGAGCGTTTTTGAGAGTGGGGGTGGGGGGTGGGTCTGAGCATGCGAACAATCTATTAACCCCGTTTTCGGAGCTTTAATGAAATGTGTCTACTAAAAAAGAGCCCCAGCCACCCGATTTTGCGGCCCCTGCATAGTGTGAGAGTTAAAAGCACTGGGCAGACCAGGGGGGTGTTTCACTACAGCCCTAAAATCGATCTAAAATCGATTTGATCGATTTTAAGGGCCTAAAATTGATTTCGATTTTAGCAGCAGTTTCACTAAATAAATAAAATCGATTTTGGCCTTAAAATCGATTTTAACTTAGAGTGTGATCCATATCAATTTAAAATCAATTTTATCCTTAGTCTTTGCATTATTGATATGCTATGTTCAGCATTCATTGGTTTTAAAGGCATAAGTGTCGGCTAGCTTCATACATCGTAAAATGAAGAATTCTGTTAAAAATGAAAGGGGGGGGGGAACAAATCTTTGTTCATAACCAATTTTTTTTTTTTAAATCATCATAGTTAGGCATGATCAATACCAAATTTGGCACTCTGGTGGGGGGAGCACAATGGCCCATTTTTTCTTCAAAAATACATGGGCGGCCCGTTTTCTCCTTAACCCAATCTAGCCTGGGAGGGGGGGGGGCCTTACCCAACCGGCGGCACGGGAGGACGCCCAATGGACGCACGGGAGGACCCCCCCCCCCTTGAGCGCCAGGGGAGGGGGCCCATCTCCAAAAAAAAGGTAGAGTTAACGTTACACGTTTTTTTTTTCCCAGGGGAGGGGGCCCGGGCTCCCTACATCTGTCACTGCTTAGAAGTGCCCCCAGGCTATGCAGTTTCAAAATAACCCATGCTAGATAGGGTTAAAGTGCCCCTTTTACATCTGATTAACAACCCTTTTTGTTTATTAAAAGTGCACTTTTCCTTTATGTAGTTTTTCCATTTTGTTATGTGCCCCCTTTTCTATATTTGTTTAACCATATGTGCTTAAAATTATGTGTCCTTATTCCGTTCATTCTCTCTCTCTCTCTCTCTCTCTCTCTTTCTCTTTCATAAACATAAAATGACACTCCCATCACAACGCTTAGCTTGCCGCCCTTTTCAAAGTAATTTTGTTTCTTCATATAAACACACCCCCCCCCCCTTCCCACACAAAAATAAATAAAGAACAAAAATGAATAAATAAACACTAACTTATAACAAGATCATTACTGGGATATTTGAATACTCACCAGCAAACAAACACACCATTATTGAATCACATCATTGCCCTTTATCATCATGTAATAATTATCACCATGCGCTAGCATACAATCTCATCTATTCACCCCCCCCCTTTTTTTATCTTCTTAAAAGACAAAAAATACATACAAAATAACATTAACACAGATTTTAATGTCTAATCAATATGCTTATGCTTTAATGAATGAAATCTACATTTTGTAAATGATGAGCATAGCAAATACATTCAAGGGATACAATAAGAACATTTTAAATGAAACAAATGAAAGTGCTACTATGAAAGTATCAGCCAGTTGTTAAAACTACTGCAGCTGATATCTGCCACTCTCTATTCGAGTTACTTTTAAGGAGATTAAAAGAGTAATACTGGTCACAAATATTTCTGTTACTCATGTTTGTTAATCTATGGATGATATACATTGTCATCTAGCTAGGTCACGGAGTCGGTGAGAATGTGATTTTCTTGATATATGAAATTAATCATCAATCAGCTTTGAAATAGCTTAGGAATTAATTTGTAAATCTTATTTTACAAGTAGTGTTGGTTGTAAAAGTGACCAGTCCATGATACCAAGATCTGTATCTCATTGTGGTCTCTCTTGCTTAAAGCTGGAAAAGGGAGCTTCTATCTGTGGGCTGGCTGATGTTTCATAGGAAGCATAACGTTGCAGGTAATTCAGGCTCTGCAGTCTAGAATCAGAATTTAAAGTTATGGGAAAATGAATCAATTAGTAAATACTAGTGCAATTTTTCAACCCATCTTCAACTTTTGTATTCATGCTTATTTCAAATACTTTAATTGCTAAATAAATAAAGAAGAAGAATACAAAATATTCTTTAAAAAATTTGAGACAAAAGTAGTTTTAGTTATAGAAGATAAATGATTGTTTTCTTTGGAGAAGAAAAATCCTTTCTTAACCATTTGTGTATTTTGTATACAACAGAATGGTAAAGATGGGTTTTAGACTTCTTACAAGGATTATGAAAAATGTACTGACTAATGTCTTTTCATTTTTAATGACTGCTGTAGAGGTATGACAACAATGGCAAGCACAGAACATGCTGATAAGATCACTTATGGTAAATGATACTGCTTACCTTTTCAATTTGAAGAGATGGACAATAAAAGTCCATATGTCATGAACTAGCAGTACATGAAGATGCCATAGCTCTTTATTTTGCAACCTAAGATTTAAAACAGAGATACATAATTGTGATGAAGAGAGCACATCTATTTTCCAGAAAAATATTTGTCATTGTATCTAATGTGTTCAACAGAACATAAGTACATTTTTATCAGTAATTACAATAGCAATTTACATGAATTTGGTCCCACACATTGTTACCAACCACATTGAAAGTTTAGACATTTGCAAGATTGACTATGGAGTCTAATCTTGATCTCGGTTACCCTACTCTTGAACCATACACTGTTGTACACAGAATCAATGAACATTCCCCTGTCGTGAGTAAAAGGGAAAGATATACCATAGCTGGTAAATAACAAACAGCTTACATCATACATATATGCTCATAACAGTTTGTTCAATCACATTTGTATACATTAATTGCTGCCCTATTATTTGTACAATATTTATCAGTCTGGCTGACGTAGTCATTTATCTTTGATTTAGACATGCCAGTGGCGGATCCAGGGGGGGGGGCACAGGGGGCACGTGCCCCCCCCCCCCGGCCAAAAAAAAAGAAAAGGAGAAAAGGGAGAGGGAAAGAAAAAGGAGAGGAAAGAGAAAAAAGGGAAGAGAGAAAGAAGAAGATAAGAGGGAGGAAAGAAAAGGGGAGAGGAGAAAAAGGAGGGGAAAGGGAAAGAAAGAGGAGAGAAAAGGCGGAAAAAGAAGAAAGGCGGAAAGACGGAGGAGAGAAAAGGGGGAAAAGGAGAATAATGAGAAGGGAAAAGAAAGAAAGGGGATGATATTATAAGAAGGTTTTTTTTTACCGGGTGAGGGGCGGGGGGGCATGCAACTTTAAGTCGAACAAGACTAATACCAAAGATTTTATCTCCTTTATAACTTCTAACTTCTAACTTCTAACTTAGTCTTGAATTAATTTTCCGATATACCTATTCTAAGTGCTCTTTCAGCATGCAGATTGTCCCCGCCATTAATCCTGCCACAGTTGCTGGTTTCATTGTCATATTATTTTCTGTCATCCCTGTGGCCACGAAGTTTCTATCCGTTTCGCAAGCACTTTTTTTCCATCGCCTACATGCATTGAAATGCTTATTGCTTCCAGTTTGCAAAAGATCCCAGTGGAGGATCTGTGGGGGGATGGGGTAGGGGTTAAGGGGTTTAACCCCCCCTCCCCCCTTGGGCTGCCAAGTGAAAATGTGATGTGAATAGAAAAACGCCATCATGTGTCCAGACCCACACAGTATCCGCATCGTCATCGGGTCAAACCCCCCTTAAACTGTTACTTGATTTAAAAAGACGTTATTGTGCACTGCTTTTTATGGTCTCCATTGTGTTAGTAGATGCCTGGAAAACATCACCTACAAAGGTTCAAAATAGCAACAACAACAAAAATAGCCTTGCCGCTACCCGGCTCGGACTTCGCGGCTCGTGGACGATGTTCCGCATCGGCTTTGGGTCGAACCCCCCTTAAACTGTTACTTGATTTAAAAAGACGTTATCATGCACTGCTTTTTATGGTCTCCATTGTGTCAGTAGATGCCAGGAAAACATCACTTACGGGGGTTCAAAATAGCAACAACAACAAAATCGCCTCGCCGCTTCGCGGCTCGTGGACGATGTTCCGTGTCGTCACTGGGTCAACCCCCCCCCCCCCTTAGCAAAAAGCCAGATCCCATCATCCGCCCCTGGATCCCTACTCTTTGAGGGGGTAGGAGAAAGCAATTTTACGTCATATTACTCCAGGAAGTGCCTGAAAATGCACCTAATGTAATTCTAAAATTGCAAATGCTTCCTACTCAGGGAGGGGGTTCTGACCCCCTCCCAGACCCATCCCCGCTTGGTCGCTCTGCTCCCTCGCCGCTGACGCCTCGTTCCATCGTTTTTCATATATTTCACCCCATGCGATTTTGTGCCCCCCCCCCCCGGTAAGAAATTCCTGGATCCGCCACTGCATGCCATGTTTGACTTCCCCTTACATGGATTTATCAGTTTGTGATTGTACGTAGAAAATGTAATGAAAATCAAGATTACACCCTCAACAACAAATTATTAATTTATTTATATGTAGGGTCTAGGTCTAGAAGAACCACACAAAAAAACTTACCTTTCACTTGTTTAAATATTGGTGTGCAATTTTTACTAGTAAAAAGATCACTTCACAAGGCCGCTTACCACAGGAGGATCTAGTCTAGAGTCAATAGCTGTACACCTAGACATTGAGTTTGAGTACATTCTGCATATCCAAACCCTTTCCTTATTGAGCCAGAGGCCAAGGTAAAATTAGTAGTAGAATGAGAAGTCCAAGATTGTAGAGAGAAGAGACACGGCAGAAGAGAACTTTTGAGTCTTGAGGTCCACTCCATCTTTGAGTCTGACTCTGTCAAAAGAAAAAAGAAATTAAGAAAAAAATAATAATATAGGGAGCCTAAGGCTTAGTGACCCTAATAGTCTACTGATTAATAGATCTAGACCTAGTTTTAATATTAATATGCCTAGACCTAGGCCTACTAGACTAGTCTACAATCGTACTTGTTACTGTAGTGCTAGGTATAGATTCTAGACTAGATCTAGACCCAACTGAGCAACTCCCAGTAGATCGACCTCGGCTCTAGTCTAGACTAGATTCTAGGTCCACATCTAGGAGTAGGACTAGTCCAGCAGAAGAGAGCTGCAGACTGCAGTATGCTAGAGCCTTAGATCTAGACCTAGTAATACTAGTTAGAGAGGCTAGGTCTACATCTTCCCTAGCTCTAGTATCAAGTATCATTATCAAGTAGATCTAGATCTAGGCCGAGAACTTAGATCTAGACCTAGACTAAATCTAGAGGTCTACATCTAGACTAGATCTAAATGTAACTTGGGTCTAACAGCAACACTCTAGACCCTCTACTCTCTAGAGTCCAGAATAATCTTCTTCTTCATAAAATATTAACGTCAAAACAACAATGATCCTGTTGATTTTTAATTTTATTATCAACAAAAACAAGACAAGGGCCGCTAAATAAATAGATAGATCTAGTAGGCCTAGATCTAGGCCCTAGAATAGAGGTCCAGATCAACTAGTAGGCCTAGTATATTGTTTATAACCACAAGACTACTGCAAGAATAAACTAGATTAATGAGTTTGTACCTGCCCTAACCGTCGGTAGAAAATTCCTATTGAACCTGCATGAATTTATATGAATGGGACTGAAATGATTGAAATAGTGCAATTCGTCCACTTTTTAGCCCAGTTGGGGGTGATATCAATTGATATTATTTAAAGTTTTGTTCAGTTAAATACAAATGTAATTCTATAAAAAAATCACAGGAACACTTTTCTTCTTCCAAATTAAAAGATTTTTTATCAACAGAATTAATATTTTGAAAGAAAAACGGAATTTACTTACTTTTTCAAGGACTCTCTGGCAGTAGTTTAGCAAGGCAAGTTTGTGATCGATTTACCCCAAATTGACTAGCCTTGATTGCAGACACCTAAAAATCTATTTTAGCTTAAAATCGATTTGATGAAACAGCTCACACGTATCGGTTTTAATCTAAAACTGATTCGGCCTTAAAATTCATTTTTAAAATCGAAATCGAGTTTAGTTGATGAAACACCCCCAGGCCTCTAGAGGGCGGTCAACTGGTATAAGTTAAACTCACTATGACAGGATCGCTCTCTGTGGTGGAGACATTTGGAACGGAAGCGTTCTTTATGCAGAATTCCCGCATGCGTCTTTTGAATATAGGGATTAGGACGATTGCGGCTTTCACGCAAACATATGGAAAACTTACGCGCATCTGCGCCTCGTCGCTTATCCTGTTAAGCACGGGGAACGTACACCAAAAAAGCCACGTTTTGATATATTTGCTGGTATTACAGGAAAATGGAAATTTGTTAAAAAAATCTTCGGACGGTTTCTTATAATTTGAAATGTCGTCTTAAAAAATGATACTAAATTTGGGATTATTCTTTCAGGGGAAACGGTAGCCATTTTCACCTAAAAGTTTAGACTTTTTCAGCCTGCCTATGGAGATTGCACTGTTTTTCCCCTTTTTTGTCGGGTTTCGCTCAGTCAACCAGTCGGCAAATTTTACACGAGTGACGTATAAAAAATCTTCGGACGGATTCAGAAACCTTGACATCCCACCTTTACGTTGGTATAACGATTGTTTTCTTTCGTGGAGAGGAAACGGTAGCCATTTTCCAACCAATAAAAAGTAGCTTTTCATACTAAACCAAGGTGACTGGGATAGTGTAGCGCTATAGCTACTCACAACGAGTGCGCCCGTACCGTACAAACAATGCACAGTTATAGCTTCCGTGCAATCGCTGTAGAGCTAGAGGTCAGTGTGTGTATTTAACGCAGTGCGTATTATACAGAGTGTGTGCGTTGCGCTCAAAATCTCGGAGACCACATCATGTCTATACATGCGCACCCGAATGGGTCGTTGCACTCCAACTAGAGGGAAGTCAGTATAATCATTGGATGAGGGAATGAGTTCGATTTCGTCTACGGTGTGATGGCAAGCCTCTGCTTATGTAGTCTACCGTAATTTTGCATTTATTTAACTAGGTGAGTTTCATTTCTAATTCTAGTTTGTTAGTGTTAGTAAGTAGTCAACGAGAGCAAGCGCTCGCACCCCCGCTTTGTCGCATTGAACTAGTCCAATCAGTGTACTTTCACGCAAGAGTGCACTTGAGCGCGCTCTCTTTGTGAAAGCGGTTGTTTAGTGCGTATTCTTTTATGCGCGTTTAGGGCTAAAAGTTTTCCATATGTAGGCCGGGTTGCAGGAAGCCCGCGTGATTACAGACACTCGAACTGATCCAACGCGCCTCAATGTCCTATCTGTGAAATTAAAACAATAGCAGTGTTCTAGCATCAAATTATGCAAGGAAACCCGTTTATATTAAATCTAGACTTCACTGTCAGACACTATTGAGTAGGTGACTGACATATTTTTTTCTTTGGTAATAACATAGGGTATAGGTGTGCGGAATTTGAGACCCTTAAGCACATTTGCATAATTTACATAAACATACAAATGTTACACATACAGAAAGTTTTGTATTCTCTTCAGTAACTTCTTCTCTTTATTCGGTAACAAAATTGTGGTCATGATGTAACATATTCAAGAACAGGTCTGATATATATGGCATAGATTACTTTTAAATTGGAAGTCGGGATCTGCAGTGAAGGTTAAAAACATATGAATTAGTTTTGCTCGATTTGGACAGTTAACGCGACGTAGAAAATACCGGCACTTAACACTGTGCGGAGCCAAACGCAGATTTTACTGATACGCGCTGGATACACGTCGCACAGGAGCGTAGATGAACAAACGTACATTGGACCTATCCATTATAGCAAATGGGGGTATATGATGTTAGGCTCATAAGCCTAGCTGTGTACAGTGGAAATTGGGACTCGGACCATCAGAAAAATATATTAATTTGTTAAAATTAGAGTGCATGATATCATTGTTTTGATCACACGGGTCTCCTGAACATGTGGTACAGCCAAGGAGAACGTTGTATCAGGGATATGAGAGTAATTCCTGGTTGTATGTATTTTGCCATGGCACACACACAGGCCCCTATACACCCCAACGCATCACACACACAGTAGGCCTATATCAACACACACGGCATATTAAGCGCATACAATGGCAATACAGTGCGCGTAGTATACGGTACATGTGCACTAGTACACGTACACGCGTATACCCTGCATGTAGAATGGATACAGCCCGGAATCCTGTCCCACAACAAAAATCTCTTAATCATGGCTATACATACCTATAAATACATCTTAATTTCACTGATTTTGAAAACGTATTGTTATTTATGATATGGAAAGATTTGTTCCTATATAATTATTTTATAGTTTGGTTACATTCATTTAACTAATATATATGAATAAGTGGCATTTTGTTACCATTAAACATCATGCTCAATTAGACATCAGCGTTGTAAGAGCGAGCAATACATAGCTATTGCATATGCTCATCGACTCAAGAAAGCCACTTCAGGTTGTATTTTCTTACAGACATAACAATTTGTCAAGTCATTTTGACGGACCTATTTTTCAAGCAATCATAATAAATCTAATATATTATGAAAGCTGAGGAAATGACCTGTGTTCTCGACATGGTATATAATTTGTAGCTTATACCGTTCGCGCGCAAGTCCAATGGAAAAGTCACACAGGGGGCGTGAACAAGCACTTTTCTTCTAAATTACGCTTAAATCTCTTCTAAATTCTACCCATAAGTGTTTTGAAATCTTAAAAATGACGGAATTATCTATTTTCGAAAATTATTAAAAGTTACATGATTACAAAGAGGAAATATCAGGCATTTTTATAGATGTTGGTATCTATTCTAGACAGCCTCCACAACTAATGCTAAACCTATCAAACCCGGCCAAAGTACGATTTTCTGATTCCTTCCCATGCCTTTATAACGGGCGCTGAAAATCTCTTTTTTTTAGTGCGGACGGGTGAACGCTTAACTGTCCCATGAAATTGATATGTGTGTTTTTTCCCCAACTCTTCGTCCCAACTCTCGTGCACAAGTCAGACTTTGAAAAGATGGAATTAGGCATGACATTTCAAGGAGAAGGAGACATGTTTTCGGTTGTTAATCTATTGCGAACGTATTTTTTTCGAGTCCGTCTTCTTGTCTTTGTCTTCAATGGACTATATACGTCTTTTGGAGTTAAATCCAAACCAAAGTAGAGCCTAAATTACTCTATTCTCAGGATTATTAACGTGTTTTTCACACACACACACATATGCACACACACATACACATACACACCACCCCCGCATCCTCACTCCGGGAGCGAAGGGACCGCATTCATGTTCCCCAAATCTCCGGTAAAGAGGTACACGCAACAAAGTCCGGCTCGTAATACACACAAACAAAATCGGCCCGTATTGACTTTACACATCGGACTTAGGGCCGGGGTGCTTTCAAAGGGAGGGAACATGCATACGCTTCCCCTAAATGACAATAACATTTCCACTCCAAACAAAGTGATTCCTCGACATATTCTGACTCCCCAAAAATGAATCCTGCAGAAAATGGTATTTGTATTAAATTCTGTCAATCTATCTATTTATTTATTTTAATATCATGTAGATTTAGCTTTTGCTAGCGTTCTTTCAATGTGTATTCTCTCTTTGATTGGTGATGCCTGTTTAATATGTACACGCATTTCTATTTGTATGATCTTTTTCACAAAGGCATCTCGATTAGGCTCTTACTTCGAGGATACGACGCACACAACAACAGGGTGCAAAGGATGCTCAACACAAATTGGTTGGTAAGTCAAAATCGCGAATCGCTTAGCAGTCTATTGCATTAAATGCGAGGAAGTAGAAAAGTATCGACTTTTTTTTTGAGGAGGAGGGGCGGGGGGATAGGGGTTGTTTTGCTTATTTTACTATCATATAATTATAACTATATCCCGCATACTAAGAATCTTGCAATCTGATTGGTCTAAACGAGGTCTGATCAATGATAGATTTCCCATCACTTCATGGCCGTGAGCTATAATGTGCCAACGTACTATCTACCTGAGATAGTACTTTTGTAACGCAATTTTTTGCTGCTGCTCCATTTGCCCATATAAGCCAAGCAAAGTATGTCATATAGCTCCGTTTAGTCTCATTTCACAACGCCCCCTATCGTCAGAGTCAGCAGCCATACATGTTAGCCTATGGACGTTTTTTTTTTAAATCGTTAAAAATTCATTTTTTGTTTAAACGAAAAGCACATCCACCCCGACGTACTTTTGAAAGTTCACCCACCGTAATTTTTCAAAATTGGTTGCAAGCTCGCCATTGCCTATAATACACATGTGAAACAAGTCGAACTTTGGACTCAGTCTGCCAAGTGATTGTAAGATTCAACTGAAAATATGCCAACAGTCAGTAATCAACTGGTGCAACTGGAAATATGCACACAGACCAGTTATCAGTGAGCTGGTGCAATGAAAATATGCCAACAGTCAGTTATCAACTGGTGCAAATGGAAATATGCCAACAGAAACGAGATTATCACCACGGACTCTTAAATGGTAACTGTGAAACTACATTCCTGTCTCCTGCGAGCAAAATCGCCGTTATTTCCGCTTGGTTTTTGTTGATTTTTGAGTTTTTGAAACGTGTGCAAAAAAAATTGGGACGAATCGGAACATTATTCAATTTTGATGCGTACGTGGTCTTACAAAGATTTGATATCGATAGCAGCTTATTTGCGATTGATATCAATCGTAATTGTGTACATCAGAGATAGGAGAATGCAAACTTGCGATTGATTGGAGGACTTGCGATTGATTTGGATCAATCATAACTCTTTGTAAGTTGGGGCCAAGGTCTATATTTTATCAGTCTCAGTCAGTTGACAATTTATACATGGTCTAGATCTACCAGTCTGCTGCTGTCTCTGCCTCAAGCGCCTCGTCGAGCTCTGTCCCGGGTTCTGGCTCGAACTGATAGGCCCGAATTCACAAAGGAGGTTTAGATTTAACCCAGGCTAAATCGCGTCATAATACGTCATAACACCGAGCTTTAGACCATGGGTCATTATTTTGGTATTCACAAAGGAAGTTTAGATTTAACCCAGGCTAAATCGCGTCATATTACGTCATATTTTTAACCTGCTCAGAGGGGGGGGGGGGGGGGGGGGGGGGGGGGGGGGGGGGGGGTTTAAACAGCGGGCTAAATCTAACCCACGGTTTTAACGCGTCATATGACGTCATACCAGCGAGCTTTGGCTTTTTGGCGCAGACGATCGTACAAATTTTGTTGACAAATTTGTGGTGAAACAAAGTGAAGAGACTTTCACAAAGTTGCTGTTTTTTCAACTGTGATAGCCTACATTGTAAGTATTTTTAGTTATTCACAACACATTTGTACCATATTCTCAGCTCAGCTACAATGAAAGCACAATTGAACATGTTTTATGTGCGTAAAAAGTGCACGAATAATAATCCAATCGTAAGTTGCACAGCCTTTGCGAACATTGTCGAAAGACCTAACGCAGCTCGGACCCATGCGTGTGTATTTGTGTTGTGTTGTTTATGTAATCCTGCGAGGCGAGGCAATTTCGCAATAATTGCGAATGTGCCAGCTAAACAATACGAAATAAGTTATAACATCAAACAATTGTGTGATTCGGGAAGAAAAATAGGTTTATCATGACATTTGAGATATTCCTGGCCTCGGGGGGGGGGGGGTAGCGACAGTTCCATTTGCATTTTCTGCTCTGCTAATGCTGCTTCTCATCTTACGGAGGAGAACGAAAAATGACGAAATGAAAATGAAAATTCTTCCACGCTGATGGATTTTACTAGTCTAATCTAGGCCTACTATATACAGAGGCCTGGTCTAGACCTAGATCTAGACTAGTCTCTAGTACTAGGCCTACACTAACACTCAGTACTGACTGAATAAGACTTGAGCTTGAGCTCGAAGTCGGTGGTGGACTGATACACACAAACACTTAGGCCTAGCCCTAGCTAGGCTAGGCGTAGACCTAGATCTAGTTCTAGTCCTCAGTCTCAAGAAATTAGTCAAAGGACAAAGCACGCCAAACCATGGCATGAATTTATGAAAAGTATTTTGTTAATAATTGTAAAAGGTGTAGATCTAGACTTAGATCTAGATCTAGACGTCTAGATTCTACTCTAGATCTAGACCCTATTCTAGACCCTAGATTTAGAAATTGAAATGGAATTTTTAAAAAAATCAAAATAGTAGTCTAGATCTAGAACTAAGTCTAGACCTAGGCCGTAGGGTCTAACGGAAGTCACTAGACAAAACATGACAGGAATTGGCCCCTACGTTCTTATGGAGGTTCAGTGACATCATCTTTCCTAATTTAAGCAATACCAATAGTAGGTCTATGAATCAATAGCAATCCTTTCTTTAATGCAATCAAAGTAGATCTAGACCTAGGCCTATCGTTACTATTTTGTTTACAGTTTGCAAAAGCTATTCAAAATCAGATTGTCTACAATACAAAGAATGCAAAACATGTAATATCATAGGGTCTAGGATTTATTTGATAAACAATGAATAACATTTTTTTCATTTCATGTTCTAATTTTAATTCACTTTTTTCTATTTTGTTGTGACAGAGACAGCATGGCTGAATATATTCACCATCTCCGCCGGCTTGACCGGAACAGAGAGTTGATAGGCAGACGTCAGAGAGGCCTTCGTGACCCATGAACCCTTTTGAAGTGTATGATGATGAGTCATTCCGGACCAGGTCCTGGTTTTCCAAAGAGACAGCGCTCTACCTCATCAACTTGGTGGATGAAGAGCTGAGGAGGACGACAGACAGAAACAACCCAATACATATACAGGTAGTGACAGCACTTCGATTCTATGCTGTTGGTGAGTAATTTACCTTATTTAGTATGGGAATGTTATGTTAAAATTCTATTTAATCTGGGCTGAGCGAAAAAGTAAAAGGGTAAAATTGTGGTTACCATGTTTTGCAGGAGGTTTTTTCATAAACTGGGAGATTCTACATCAAAGCGGGAGGAAGGGCATGGTGGCATGAGACTCCCTCTAAATGCAAGAGGGTTGACAGCCCTGATTTAATAAAAAAAATCTATTCTACAATTTTAAGGACATTAAACATTTCTCAGTTTGAGAATTTGATCTGGCCATGTAACTTGTAAGAAATTGTACTAGTTGATATTTCACTAAAAATATTTTTTTTTACAGGGTCATTCCAAAAGATGCATGGTGATGAGGCACAGCTTTCACAGTCTTCTGTATGCAGAGTCATCAAAGACGTGTCAGAAGCGTTTGCGAGAAGAAGGGAACAATTCATGAAGTTCCCAACATCAAGAGAAGAAGTAGAAGCAGCACAGCAGAAGTTCTACCAGTACTGCAGGTTGCCAGGTTTTCTGGTGCAATTGATGGGACTCATGTCTACATCAGGAGTCCTGGTGGAGATCAAGCCCTGTATTTTATTAATAGGAACAACAGATACTCTATTAATGAAATGAAAATTTTACCTTTTTTCGGAGATGCCCCCATTTACTTTTATTCCAATTAATTAAATAACCGATATGGAATTGGTTCACCCTTTAGTTACTCTGAACGAAACGTACACCCATGCAGTAATGTGGTCTGAAACAATTAGACCGTATGATTTGAAATCTAATGGTTGATATAGTTCGTCCCAAAAACATTTTTGCAAAAGGTACCAACCACTTTGAAATGGAAATGGTCATCATCTTCATCATCATCGACCTCATCACTGAAATCGTTATGTGACTGCTTCATCACCATCGCCACTGACAACATCGCTGTCATCATTATCATCACTAACATCATCATCGACTTCAACATTGTCTTCGTCAATAACCTTGAATACTTGTTTTGATTATCCATATTAAATCGTCAATATTTAAATATACATTTCTCTTGTTTGATGGTGTGGTTTTTTTCGTGAAATCATTAAATTAGGAGGTAAACGTTTTACAAGTGAATGACCTACTTTGTTTATCTTGTTCAATTATTAATATACCATTTGCTGTTATCTATTACTTATAATTACCCAGTACACACCATGAATTAAAATGGATTCAGTATGTTTCGCTAAATCCAAACACCCAGAGAGAGAGAGCAAAAGATAAAGAGAGAGATGAAGAAAGAAGGAGAAAGGGTATGTGTGAGAGAGAGAGGTGGAGGAGAAAAGAGAAAGAAAAGAAACAACAAACAACAAACAAGGAAGGTGATAGAGTGAGAAATAGAGACGAAATTTACAAAAAAGTTTGACTTTTCTTATTGTTTAAACTACTATTCCCTTGAGAAATTAAATACAGCAGAAAGATTAAGAAAAAAATGAACGCCCCCCCCCCTAAGAAAAGAATTAATACGGCAAATAAACAAATTCAGAAAAAATTAATGCCCCCCCCCCTAAGAAAATAATTAATGCCCCCTCCCCCCTAAGAAAAAATTAACCCCCCCCCCCCAATAAAGCCCCACCCCCTAAGAAAACAAATAATGTCCCCCCCCCCCCCCCGAATTAGGCCTAATAATTCTTTATCACATGTCAAGACTTCCTTGTTTTTGCTGTCCTCTTATTTTATATGACCAGTAAGCCCAGTTTTTGTCTCAATACATCTATGCATTTTATGCATTAATGCCAGTATTTTCCATCAGATAGTATTTATCGTAACCTTTCAGCCCTTTCTTTCTACATCATCAACACATTCTGGACTAAACGTCATCGATCTCTTTCGCTGCCTCTACGGAGTCTACGCTATATAAACACGTGTCTTACTTCGGATTGATTAATTGCTAAACTAAAGTGTGCATGACCTACGCTCTAAACTCATCATAACAATCAACGAAAATGTGATCATATAGCTCTAAAATGAACACTACATCATAGATTTTACTCTGGTAAAAGGGTCGTTTACAGAAGGTTTTTTTGGACTCTTCCACGAAAAGTCTCCTGTCGATGTTTAGTGTGTTGTGAGCAACAATGCGCTCTGGCGCGGCTGCCCAGCTGATCATAATTATGTCGGACGATTATAGGCCATAAATTACAACGATAGTGAGGAATTATTGAGGTAATTTATGCGAAATGCGGAAATATTTTGAGGACATCTGTCAGGGAACTGTTTTAGTATGTGAATAGTGGTTTAAAGTCTTATCTCAACTTGGAATCGGTCGGTTTTCAGTCTCTACTTGTAGGCGAAGAGTAATAGCCCAAATACAACTGAATCTGGACTTAGCAGACGACGGTGAACTAGGTGGAGTAACCAAGTATACTGAGCGCGCATGCTCAGTTCAATGCTTCAATTTTGCGCATGCTCAGTTCATTTTTTTTGCTCTCTTAGGCATGCTTAAACCGTGGGTTAAACCGTGGGTTAGATTTAGACCATGGGTTATTTAACCCTCGCTTTGTCAATACCGAGCGAGGTTTAAACCGTGGGTTAGATTTAGCCTGGGCTAAATAACCCAGGGTTAGATTTAGCCTGGGTTAAATCTAAACCTCCTTTGTAAATTCGGGCCATAGGGTCAATTTTCAGCACTTATTCAGAACTGTGACCATACTTTCGACCCGTGACTCCAGCGTGGAGGTACCCTACTATAACATACCAAAAATCAACTATATTTTTAACAATTGTCCAACTAATGGTCATGATATTAATTTAAAAGAGGATATCTTTCTTACCTATTTCGTGTCAATTTTCTTATCTTTTTGGGAGTATTTTTCGTAAAAACGGAGACATTGGTATGCGTGCACTGTCTCACATGTTTCACGGCAAACCGATGCACAATAAAAGTGCATGCCGACGAAGATCATCATCAATTTATGATGTGAATTAATTGCATGAATTTAATGAGGATTTGAGATTACAGCCGCTAACTTCACGCACGCGCGTGCGCCCGCACCCCATCGTCGGTATGCACTTATATTATGCAGTGGTTTGCCGTGAAACCTGTTAGAATATATACTTATGTTTTCGTTTTTAGGAAAAACACTCCAAAAATATAAGATAATTGACACGAAACAGGTAAGAAGGATAACGACTTTTGAATCAGTACCATTATTTGAACAATTATTGAAGATTTAGTTGAGCAAGTGCTATGTTATCATGTGATATGCCAATGTTTTTTCCTGCAGTTACGCCATGTGTGCCGTTGTATATGTTATTCGTTATTTATTTCATCATCTGTATCGGTTATCATATAGAATGACGGGTAAAGTTCTTTTCATGAGGTTGATTTCATACATTCTAGCTGTACACATTTTTTTTTTATGTGATGTTTACTCTTTAATAATAACATAGGCCTATATTTCTCACAATACATGCAGATTGCCAATAACTTTGAGATAAATATACGAAGATGGACCTGATTTTTGTCTCTTGCTCGTGGTGATTGTGCTGTCAGTATAGATTTGCTAGTTTGATTTTATTTCTGCATTTTTCTACAAAAAAGGTAATATACAAAATAGATACATATGTTTAATAAAACAAAAGTCATAATATATATTTAATCATATAATACAAATCAATTAAATAATTATACCTTTAGAAAAAACACATAGTTGACAAATTATTTCAAAATTGAAAAATTCAGGGGACCGCCATCTTTAGCTCGAGCTTGAGTGTGATTGGCGAAAACAATTGATTTTAGCAGCCACATAATGAAGTAAATCGATCATTTAAAAAGACATCAAATGAAACGCGTTGAATGTAAATGTGTATATCACGCAAGTGTTCGTCTTTTCTTAAACGTGTTATTTACGTTGTTATTTATGGATGTGCATGTACAAGTGTGTATCTGGTTTCTTGTGTTTCAGTGAAGCGCTTATAAAATTATGACTTGCATGCTGATGATCATTTACGATTCATTGCAGCCCTTGAAAGAATAAATCGTGATACATCATTTACCAGGAGTTGGGAGAGTATTCCATAGTTCAGGGCCATGGTGTGGAATTTATAAGTGCGCAATTAGCAAGTTCTAAGAGTTTCGAGTCGGATAAGAATGAGTTGTGTTGTTTATAACAAACATGTTGAGGAATGCCGGGGAAAGTAGGTTATTGAAGTATTTTTAACATAAAGATTGAACATGCAAATTATTGATATTAAAAAAAAACTATTAATGTTTTCAGCTTCTGAATTAAGGGTTCTGAATTTGCAAGAAATTGTGATCCGGTACAAATGCGAATAAACCTTTTTTGCAATAAATACAAGGGAATTAGTTGTCTTTTCATAATATCAAAATAAACAAAATGGAAGTACCATTGTAGTATACAATAAAAAACTAAATCTTTTGGGTAAAAAATTGTTTCATTTTTACAAATAATTCCTAAACTTTTAGACAAAGAATGATTTAGTATATTAAAATGGTCATTCTTTATCAGACACTCATCAACAATCACTCCGAAATACCTAAATTTTCATTTTGTTCTGAGGGCAAGTTATTAATCAATAAATGAATCGTTATATTTGTAGCTCGGTGTGCTTTGAGGTATAACATGAGTTTTGTTTACATTAAGAGATAGCTTATTGCACTTAAACCATACGGATACTTTTGGTAACTCCAAATCCAAGGTATGCATTAGTGTTTCAATGATATTTGGGTGAGCAAAACAATATTTCTGTCGTTAGCAAAGAGAATAGAATGACAACACAATGATGCGCTCATTATATCGTATACATACAAAGGAAAAGGAGTGGTCCCAGAAAGGAGCCTTGGGGGACACCAGAACTGATGGGTAAATACTAGAGTCAGTACCATCAAATGAAACATATTGTTGTCTGTTCGGCCAGTAGTATTATTTAAGCCAGGAAAATATTTTCCTTCGAGTTCCATTTGTAGAAAGTTATCGAATCAATATAGCATGGTTGAGCGTATCAAACGCTTTACTAAAATCCTAAAATATTCCTATTACGTGTTCCTTATTTGCCTTAGCACTGGTAATTTTGTCATATATTTGTACAAGAGCTAAATATTATGAAGAGTGGTTTTTCCTAAACCCGTATTGGTTTGTATTCAATAATTTGTATTCAATAAGGAATCATGTAACCTATTGTAAACTATTTTGCAAGAATTTTGTCTGTATAATATTAATAATAATAATAATAATAATAATAATAATAATAATAATAATAGGCATTTCTATAGCGCCATTTATCTAAATAATTCTATTCCGCCGCGGCACATTTATTATTACTCCGGCTTTACGTATGAAGTTTTAATAAAAATCCTAGTAATTCACAAAATGTCTTGATTATTGCTAGAACTGTTACTTTTAGACCTATACGATAAAAATAATTGACATTGTAAGCGATCTGTGTTCTTCTTTTGTTTAAGGTATTATGAACCAACAGATGCCAGATTAAAACCATTCCATGCCATATTTTTAAACAGAGTGACCCGTGATACATGTGAGTATAAAATGTTGCTTTTGCATTCATGTAGTTCATAACGAAGAAATTATATGTGACTACTAATTGAGCCTATAATAGCTCTACTGCGACGGATAAGGCATTGGTCAACGTCTACAGCAAACAAATAGTTACGTTCTGTAATATATAAATTCAATTGTGAAAGTTTTTAAAAAAAGATTATTCTAGGTGTATTTTTTCACCATAATTTTTTTTTGTCTACGCACATGAATTGCATCAAAAGGGTTGTTGGTTTTGCAATGGGTGAAAGGGTTGACTCAAACTAAAATGTTTATACCTTTCCACAAAATAATCCAGATGTAGCAGTTTTGATCAGCGTAGTGGCCGTCGATTGCAGTAATAGTCAAATACTCGACTGTCGACACAGTAACGCAGCACAGTTTAAGGCGCACTCTGTCTTCCTCCGTCCACTCTCAACTAAGAAAATTAACTTTTTTCAGGAATGCATAAAAACAGTAAAAATCTGCTCTGCTAAATAAAAAGA